TCTAGACCCGAAATGTCAGCTTTCCTGCTCCTCTGATGCTGCTTGGCTGCTGTGTTCATCCAGCTCTACACCTTGTTATCACTGTGCTTTTGGATGCTGTTTTTGAGAGGCAGCATGTAGAATTGGATAGGGGATGGGTCAAAAGTAGATCCTTGGCTATAATTTAGGTAGATATGATTGTGAAAGCAGTCACTTATAATTGGGTGGAGGGATATTGGAGGAGACTCCAATAACTGTATCAAAGGTTGCAGATAGGTCAAGAAGCATGAGCAAGGACAGTTTGGCTTAGTGACAGTCACAGACGTAACTGAATCAATACTTCCAATTTAGTGACAAAGAAGTTAACAGTGCCTCACATTTATGGTGTTTCCGGTCATTTATTGTGCATTCCTTTGCCTTGTTTGTCATGCCCCAAATGCAAAAACTCACTTCTCTGGATTGAATTTTAGTTGCCATTTTTCTGTTTTCCTGGCAGGTTCAATGGTATATTGCTGCAGTCTAGGGTGTTCTTCCTCACTAAAGTACGGGCCACTTTTTGTATCATCAGCAAATGTTTTAACCATGACCCCAACATGTAAATCTAAATTACTAATGCATACAACGAAAACCAATAAACACTTGAAGAGGAAGTCTCACATGCATGAGAAACAGCAGGGTTATAGGATGATAGAACAGTTCTTGCAAAGAGTTGAGTATAGGTTGATGGATTTTCTTATGTGCTGTATCATGACATTTCAAAGCTACTACAGAATTACTTAAAGAGGGGAATATGCGAAATAGCTCAATCTCTTCCTAAACTAAAAGTGTTTACTCAAAACAAATGTGACTATGTTGCCTATTTGTTGCCCTACGTTCTTGTTCCCCTCCAATCATTGTGTTCAGATTAACATCTACGTGGAATTTGTACCAGAAAAATAACTTTACTTGCAATGGTTATGAAACAATTTCCTCAAACCATTTAATTAGTATGTCAATGCATTTTAACGTATTCCTCAAATGATTTTTGTCCTATCCATTCATCCTGCGTGTTCACTCTTACAGGCTGCTCACAGATGCGATAGTACATTTTCTAATTGGCAAATAAGTTAAATGATTTGAAGATCCTTTAGTAAACAGCTATGTGTCATGTTATATTGAAACCTAAGGGAACATACAATTTTCCATATGTACAAAATTAGAAATTATTTCTTCGATTAAAGAGGAAGCCAGCGGGTGGCAGTAACACAGACCCACTGCAAAGAACACGGAGCGACCCTCAAGATGTTATAGATGACTTGGGCTCCCGTTTACTGTGCAACGCGAGGTCACAATCGGGATTTGAGACCGAGCTTAATACGTTTGGCTTTATTCGCGCTTAGCTCCGCCCTACAATGTGGTCTCAGCCAATAGAATCGTGGAGAATGTTATTACTGCCGCTATATTCTAGGACAGGAGCCAATGAGATGGCATAAATGACCCATGGCCGCGCCCACCACTCGCGGCCTCAGCCAATAAGGACGAGTGAAACTTACCGTCTGCTGGGTAACGGAGTAACAAAATGAAGCAGCTGTCATCAGGCAGGGGAGAGCCGGACCGAGAGCATAGGGATTGCTGAGGCAGCAATTTCAGGGCAACTGGAAGTAATCAATTAGAATAATATCGCTGCGATGAATCCGACGTAGATGAGCATATTATTTAAAAGGGCAGCAAAAGGGAATCCGGGGGCAGGATCCAACAGCATGACAGGCGTCAGTGGTAAGAGCGTTGGTGTTAAAGTAGGCAAGCAAACCAGATCAAAGGCTGCTAACACTACAGGTGCAAACCCGGTAACAGCCTCGGGTAATAATGCCAGCAAATCTTCCGGAGAAGAAGATGAGAAAGATGGTGGAGTGCTTTTCTATGTGAATAAAAGTGGTTTCCCGATTGATGAGCGCACTTGGCAAAGAATGTGGACGCATGTGGCTAAAATACACCCGGGTGGGAAGGAGATGGAGGAGAGTATAAGAAAAGCTGCATTTATACCCCGGGTAAGTGATTGCCTGCACAGCTTTTATATGTGGTTTTATACTGCTATTATTGAGTGTTTCGCATTTTTTTCAGTGTGGGAATACGCATGCGATTTGGACAAATTGATTTCTACTGTATACATTTTGGGTGATGAGAATCGAATTTATTTAGTACACATTACTAAATTCCTGACCAGAAATTCGTCACTTGGGTTAAAATTAATAAATTGTCATTGATTTTTTGTAGATTAGAGAAACACAGCAAATGTGAATGTACGTTCTTGATATCTCATCTGTTTTCCTCTCGTTTTTATCTAGCAAACCCAAGCCTTTGTGTGGCTTTTTTTTAATCACTTGGATAAAGTTAGAACAAAGTATGATATTTTGAGACAATTTAAAATACTGTCCATGAACTTTGCCTTAAGTGGCTAGTCTAAAAGTGTGATAAAATGTGTTTAAGAAACATTCCACATTTACTTTAGTGGGAGCATACATTACACTCAAATGGACAAAACAAGGTTTAGTTTGTGTTACAAATCCAGTTGGTTACGTCCATATATAGTTTAATTTGCTTCCCTGTTCTGCTGAATGGCCACAACTGTTATTAATGCATAGTTAAGCAATTGCCTATTTTCTCTGGTCTGAATTGTGAGCCACAAAAATAGATGTTCTCAAATGTTTCCTTTTCAAATATACAGTGTTTACAGTAAGGAACTGAAGTGAAGCTTCGCATCGAAATTTTGCATTGCTACTTTGAGTCTTGTTCGTGTTGAATGTATATGTGAAGCTGAACACTTAATCTTTGCTTTGTTCCTATTCAATTTGATGAAAAATTTTAGAAAGTCACTTGAGAATGGAAGGGAGTATTATGTAAGAAATATTGAATTTAGACCATTTGTAGCTAGAGAATCATCCACTATAATGGCTTCGCTTTCTACACTTTTATCTCTGGAGTTTGTCCCTCTGTGACCTCATTCTGTCCTATTGCTTATCCACTTCAGCCCTATAACTCCTCAAGATCTCTGCAACTCCAATTCTAGCTTCTTGAACAGCCCCAATTTTTCATTGCTCCACCATTGATGGTTATGCCTACATCCTAAGCTCTGAAATTTCCTCCTTAAACTTCCCCATAGCAGTTTCCTACATTTAGGTTGGCCCTTAAAACCCAACCCTTCAGCCAAGGTTTTGGTTATTTCTCCTAATATTCCAACAAGGTTCAGTGTAAAATTTCATCTGATAATGCTCCATTGAAGCCATAGAGTCATAGTCATTCGGCACTGAAACAGACCCTTCAATCCATCTCATCTATGCGAGCAGGTTTCCCAAGCTAAAGTAGTTTCTGTTGCCTGTGTTTGGCCCATATTCCTCTAAATCTTTCCTATCCATGTACCTGTACAAATGTCTTTTAAATGTTGTAATCATACTCGCCTCTTCCACTTCCTCTGGAAGTTCATTCCACATACACACCACCCTCTGTGAAAAAGTTGCTCCTCAGGTTGCTTTTAAATCTTTCCCCTCTCACCTTAAGCCTGTGCCCTCGAGTTTTGGATTCCCCTATCTTAGGGAAAAGACTTTAGCTATTCATCCTATCTATGCACCTCATAATTTTATAAATCTCTATAAAGTCGTCTTTCAACATCCTATGCTCCAGGGGAAAAAAGTCCTGGCCTGTCCAGCCTCTCATTATAACTCAAACCCTCCAGACCTGGTAACATCCTTGTAAATCTTTTCTGCACCCAGAATGACCAGAACTGTACACAGTACTCACTGATGTCCTGTACAGCCACAGCATGATGTCCCAACTCCTATATTCAATGCTCTGACCAATATAGGCAAGTATGCCAAATGCCGTCTTCACTCTCTGTCCAGCGGCGATGCCACTTTCAAGGAACTATGTACCTGAACTCCAAAGTCTCTCTGTTTGACAACACTGTCTAGAGCTATTAAATTAACAGTGCAAGTCCTGCCCTGGTTTGACGTACCAAAACACAACACCTAGCATTTATCTGCAATAAACTCCAACTGCCACTCCTCTGCCCACTGGCCCAGCTGATCAAGATCCCATTGTGCCCTTAGTTAACCTTCTTCACTGTCCACTATACCACCAATTTTGGTGTCATCCACAAAGTTACTAACGATGCTTCCTATATTCCACTTGAATGTTTTCACTATATTAAAGCCTCTCCGTAACTACAAATTTGTTGCTGAATCTCCTTGAATTCATCTTTCGTCCATCCTACATGCTGCTCCCGGACAAAATCATCTGAAAATTCAATGCCAAGTTTTGGGTATACACTGTTAACACCCAACACTACTATACCACCAGAATAAAACAAAGAACTGTGAATGCTGAAGATTTGAAACAAGAACAAAAATTGCTGGAGAAACCCAGCAAATCTGGCAGCGTTTGTGGAGAGAAAGCAGAGTTAACGTTCAGAAGAAGGGTCACTGGACTCTAAATGTTAACTCTGCTTTCTCTCTGCCGATGCTGTCAGACCTGCTGAATTTCTCCAGCAATTTCTGTTTTTGTTTCCATCACATTGTTACCTTTGTTGACCCTTCCTCTGTTGCACATCCAGCACTCAGACAAAAACCAAAAGTAACTCTAATTAAACAGTGGGAAGTAGACTGTCTTTGGTTCTTGTTACATGTTATATTCCCTAGCTAATAATTAAATTGCTCTCCTTGGTTACTGTGTCAGGCTAAACCAGATCGCTCACAGCACTGGCATCCTCCTTGACTTGAGCTGAGTTTCCAGCAGGATTTTCAGCCCATCACTACACTGCCTATTCCCACCTGCATAATATCGTCTGACTCTATCCATACACTACTACAACACACATCAATTTTTTTTATTTTTTATTTACCACCACATTTCCTACGCATCTTTGACTGGTTCCTTATTTTCACCCTCCAAAACTCAGCTCCTCCATAACTTAAGTTGCTCCTGTATTTGATCTATACACTCAGTCTAAGATCACAAATAGCTCCATTTTAAAATTCTCACCCTCAAAGTCAAGTTCCTGCACTGTCTTGTCCATTTCTATCCCCTCCCACCTGACAACCTTCCAGGAAGTATGCTGCTTTACATGTGGCCTTGTGTGCAACCCCTTGCATCTTTGGTCGATATGGCCGCGCGGTTGAAGATCTCAGTTTGTATGGCTGAGAGATGTAGGAATGAGACTTGCAGCAATGCTGTGTGTGTGTAAGGGAGAGTGAAGTATATGAATGTTAGGTATGAGTTCTGATTAATCGAGATTGTTGGAATGTGAACGAAGGACTGTGGGTTGAATTGAGGAGTGCCTAATGTTAGTAGTGCCCTTGGTAGGATATGGCATTGGGGGTGCAATCATTGACCCCTCCCACTCATGTGCAATCATTGACTTTCTTATGACAATGCATCTAGGCTATTGGTGCTTGACACAGGCATTATCCTTCATAGTTTTATGCTCCCATTGCGATCTTAGTGCCCATTTGCAAGACCTCCTGGCCCCTGAAGGAAAAGGACCTCTCTTCCTGCTCTAAGTTGCTGATGTCAAGACCTTGGAGTCCACTCTCTTTCACCATTGTTTATTATTTCCAAAGTTAGAATTACATCCTAAATGACCACCCAAGTGTGCTGCATTGCATCTCTCCTTTAAGAAGTGCAAGCTTACTTTAAGAGGTGTTAGTCACTCATGGTGTTGGGCTCCCACTGAGCCCAAATGGCCACAGCAATCATTGAACCAAACAAGCAGCACAACGTTGGTATGCTGCGTACATCAAAATATATGGGCAATTAATCACACATCACAATGCTTGGGATAACTAGGTGTAGAGCTGGATGAACACAGCAGGCCGAGCAGGAAGGCTGACGTTTTGGGTCTGGACCCTTCTTCAGAAATGGGGGAGGGGAAGGGGATTCTGAAATAAATAGAGAGAGGGGGGGAGGCAGATGGATGATGGATAAAGGAGCAGATAGGTGGAGAGGAGACACAGGTCAAGCAGATGGGGATGAAGCCAGTAAAGGTGAGTGTAGGTGGGGAGTTAGGATGGGGGTTGGTCAGTCAAGGGAAGATGGACAGGTCAAGGAGGCGGGGATGAGGCTGGTAGGTAGGAGGTGGGAGTGGGGGTTGAGGTGGGAGGAGCGGATAGGTGGGAGAAAAGACGGACAGGTGAAGGAGGCGGGCACGAGCTGGGCTGGTTTTGGGATGAGGTCGAGGGTGGGGAGATTTTGAAGCTTGTGAAATCCACATTGATACCATTGGGCTGCAGGGTTCCCAAGCGAAATATGAGGTGCTGTTCCTGCAACCTTCGGGTGGCATCATTGTGGCACTGGAGGAGGCCCAGGATGGACATGTCGTCCAAGGAGTGGGAGGGGGTGTTCAAGTAGTTCGCGAAAACCTCACAATGCTTGGGTCTGCTTTCAGGAGCTTTTGAATTTATCTACCCAATGTGATTAGTGTTCCACTGAAGTAGTCAAATCTGGTATATGTTTTTGGCACATTATGTTTACAAGGACATGTACATGCTGAGTACTCAGGACTTTCAAAGATGCCCAGAGGATTTAAAATCTTAGGTTAGCATAGACTAGAAAAATAGATGGTTTCTCTGTATAGGACAAGAGACTATGAAGAGGAACCTAGTTTATATTTATAAAAAAAAAATTGAATGGAAATAAATAATGTGCACTTTCATTTAACATCAATTGTTATGACTAGACCTTTAGGGTACCTCTTGTAAGTCAATAGATTTCAAGGTTTATTCATTCTGTAGTAGGTCTATGTAGTTGCCTCTGTCAACAAGGTCGACTTGTTGAGAAGCATCAAAATCTTAAGGTGCAAGTGAAATTCCAGTAATTCTCTTTGCCCTTCACTTCCTTCTCTTTTTATGTCTCTTTGATTATACGTCTGATAGTTTTGGAACACGTTCATAGCTAAAGGTGTTATATGAATGCATATTTCTGGAATTAATGTGTCATATCTCAGATCCGTACTGTTACAACAATAAGAAATTCTATAATGACAACAACAACTTATTGG